GCAATTTCACATTTAAATATGCCCTTGGTCCATCAAGTGTAAAGATCCAGGGGATTCTCATTGTGGTAATAATAATTAACCATCATTTGTTTGAAACATTAAGAATGAAATAAGCATTTTGAAAATTTTTATTTCATTCCTATTGATTTCATAGTGTGTGCATAATGAGTAAATTGTGTCTAACTGTCAAAACTTATTGGGATGTTTTAACCACAATGCAGCATAAAAATACCATTACAAATGATCCTTTAAAAAAAAATTACATCCTTTGTGCTCCCCATTACAACAGATACTTCACAGATCTTAGCTGTCATTTATGCTAAGACTCATTATTATATTTTAATATGTGCCAAGTCTTTACATTTAAAGTTGGTCAAATAATGATTCACTGACTATTTTATTTGGCAAATGACACAATATTTTCTAAAACATTTACAATTATTTCCTTAACTTATTCTCCCTGCTCTGTAGGCTGAGTGAACAATGAAAAAAAAAATGTGTCTAATTTATTCTAAACATATGGCAAATGTTGAAAAGATTATTCCATAAATATTATTCAATCAGCCCTAATTACAAGTTTAATGTTAACTTCAGTTTTACATAGAAGATGCTTAATAAAACTGAGTAACTTGTGCTAAACAGAAAAATAAATCAAATAAGTATTTAACTACAGTCTTAACATTTTCAAATATTTAGCATCTTGAGTTTTAACTGTCAAAAGCTTTTTAGCAAAAGAGAACATAAAAGCCAAAGGCATAAGATCTAAACAATTTAAGTCAGCTTTCTAAGTTAACTAGATCTCACAGAAACACAATATTGAGCTAAGCATATAAGCATCTCAATAAGGATCTGTGATTGACTGTGGAAACACCACGCTAGGAAAGCACCTACTACCCTGGAGGCAGAGATTTCATTTGGCTTGACTTGCAACACATGCCAAATAGAGGCCCTCCAGCTGTAAACTGAGAATCAGAAGGTGGAGGAGACTCCCTGTAAGAGGTGGGCTGATTCTGAATGAAGAATTTTTGTTTTCTAGGTATAAAGGGAGTTGTATTCATGAAGGCTGAGATGTGGGGAGACCATTTTTCCTTTGGTGAGAGGAAAAGACTGATTATATTTACCAGAAGTAGTAATGTGCTGTCACAAATCATACAAGGGGTTACCTCAGCACTCAGCAATTTATATTACATTCTTTGGACAAAACCCTCTCTCCTCCCCACATGCTCTTTTCCTCCTCCCTAAAAATGCATCATTAACATATTCCTCCCACTCCAAAATCCATAATGATTTCACCCCTATTCAAATCCATCTCTAACCCTCTTGATTGATCATACTTACAGTTTATTTTTCTCATATAGCCTCATAGTGGCGGACCTACAGAGGATATAAAGGGCTTCAGGCTCCCTCCAAGTATGGGCTTTTTGAATTCTGGGCTAAGCAGTCACTAAAGGGAGAGAGACTGGCTCCTGCAGGGCTCAGCAGAGCAGCAGATTGAGTCTACCTTTTTGTGCATTGTTAGAGTCCTCTTAGCAGCAGGGAGGGACAGATGCCAGGGCTTGTGTAGTGCATCTGTAATGCCAACAGCCCCAGGTCATTGGCAGGCAGAATTGAATCTGAGGCCTCTGGAGCTTAGTGCATGAGCCTCGACTGCATGAGCTGAAAGCCAACTGCCTGTTAGCTAAGGCTGTAGAGCAGACTCATTAATCTCTCTCTCTCTAAGTGGTCTCAGTGCCACTGGATGGGACAGAGCATCACACCCAGGAGGTGTGTGGGTTACACATCACTCCGTGTGGTGAATGGAAGAGAATTCCTCCTTCCAACAGTAGCTTTGGACCCTGCCATGGCAGTTGCACTGTGGTATTACAGCTGCCAGAGTGTGCAGTAGCTGGCTCCATTCTATCTTTAGGAAGAACTTGACATTTTAAATAGTAAATTTGGTGTAAGGGTTTTTGGATGGGCCTGCAAATCAACCCTCTCCGACCTAAGTATTACCAATTTCTGACCACCATTATATTACCACTGTGTGCAAGGCTGACTTATCTATTTTGGAGAGTGTCAGAAAAGAAGTTACACCCCCTACCTTTGGGGATACTTCACCAACTTGAATTAATCATTTTACATAAAAGCTCTGTGTATGAGAAGTGGTGGGATCTTTAGATCTCTCTTTCCTTTCCAGAAGTGGAATCCAGGCTGCTTACCCATTTCAGCCCTAGTGATTGGTTTACATTCCTTTACAAGTAAAAAGTTTAGACATTTAAAACAACATTCTTGGGGCTGATAAGTCCACTTTGCATTTATCTCCCTAGAAGGCCTAATCCTCAGTTAAGATTGGTGAACAGATGCCCGTGGGCCTGGGGGAAATCCATAGGTGGTGTGGTGCTGCACAGTTCCTATTCCACTCCCAGCACAGGGGCATTGTCAGGTGAAAGGGAGCATAGAAAGAGTTTCCTTCTGCCATGACCTATGGCTACTCTAAACTATGATGGGGAGTCAGGACCAGAGAGTCAAGAGCAGTTTATTTCCCCCTACCTTCCTCCTATGTGCTTATTGGGCACAGCTGAGAAATGTCATCCTTATATTTTTAATGAAAGTTGAGATTCCCCTTTACAAAAGGACTTCCTTCTGTGAGCCTAGAGCTAGCTTCAGTGCCTTCCAGCCCTTTAGTACCCTATTTATAGGAGAGCCTGGGAATGAACAATATGTAGATTTTTTTTTTCCCTCTCTGAGCCCATTGATTGCTCTGTGAGTGGGCGATACTCTGCAGACCTCCCTGAGGGAAGGAAAGGCCTAGTTGTGGACAAGTTTGGGAGTAAGGAATGGTTTTCCCACTGGAACTGACCCCAATCCAGACCTCAGCCTGTGGCAATTAAACTACTTTTGATTTGTTTTTAAGTAAAGGGTGTTTTTCCTAAAATTTCCTATAGGTTTGTCTTTTTTTATTTTGGGGACAGATATATACTCCTTTTTATTCATGTTCATTGCACGTTGTGGTATGTATATGTGGACTGAGATAGTATTCGTGACTTGCATACTACTTCCATTTTTTAAAAAAAAAAGATATGTATGTTCATCCAAGAGCAAAGTGTGGCCCTAACTGCCATGAATATGTCTGCTAGGCAGGGGGCACAAATCATAGTTTAAAGCTCGGTCACACAGTAATTTATAAATTCCAAAAAGCGATTTTTGAGTAAAGTTGAAAGATGACCTAAAACTCCTATGATTTCTAGCTGCCAGAAGGAAAAGAATAAATTTATGATCATATGTTGCTGAATGAAGAGACTTGGTTGGCTACTTTATTGAGCCCAGTTAAAGTGTGAAATAATGTAACAATCTTATTAACATTTTACAAGTTTATCATTGAGAAAAAACCCTTTCTCATGCTACTGAGGAAAACATGGTTAAATATAAAAATATAAATCTGAGGAAATATTTGACACTCAAAATGGTTCACTCTTGTGTGGAGCAATCTTTGCTTTAACAGACAACACCCTATGGATAAAAGTCTCAACGGTGGCAGCATAATACTTAGAAAAAGCAAATAAAGTTGGAAAACTGTGTCTTCAACTTCTAGAGCATTTATTTCAAGCCTGGATCACTTCAGTGATAACAGCTTATCTGCCTTCCTCCTTAATCAGTCAAATGGTCTACCAGAGAAGGCTGGGAAGACGATGTGAGGTCATGGGAAAAGTGTTATTTGGGGTTTTATGAACCCAAAGCTCTTGGTAACTTTTACTCTTGGCAAGGCAGTGACAGGAAATAAATCAATAGGGACACGGCCAACCGACACAAGCAGTATAACACAAGAGTGCTCTTACTTAAAGCTAGTCTGAATCTCTTATACACATCTGCAGCAGGTTACTAATAACATCGCAACCCTCAATAATTACCAAAGTCTGGAACGGTTTTCGAGTGGTACAGTGAGAGACATCCTATTGCCCGTCTGCCATTGAGGACCCTCAGATGTGTCCACGAAATGATCCAACTAGCCCAGACTTCTCCCCCCTTATTTACTGTGTCGGTACAATAACATCTCAATCAAAAAAACTTGTTAAACAAGCAATTTCAAAGGTTAAGCAAGAGGTTTCACAGACCATTAGACAGATGTGTTTTTTCAAAGTCCGCATGCTTGAGGTTCCTGACAAACACATCCCAGAGGGCAAATATAGGTAGGCTTCCTGTTTTTTAAAAACACATTCCTGAGCAATTTCAACAGAGATCTTATCAGGAAGGACTCAGGAAAAGACCCTTTTCTTGTGGTCACTCAAAACCCCCTTTCCTTCTGGCTTAGATATGCTAAGGCTGTTGTACAGGTCCACTAAAGGCCTACTGACTTGGCTGGTTTTGGCAATAAGCATGATAATCAATATTCCAACTACCAGTAGTGGTCCAGGCAATTACTGATCCACCAAGATCTCCCTGAACAAAGGTCTGTTATTTATAATCCTTGTCATTGGCATTCCCCGGAGACAAGAAAAAATCTTTTATGCGTCTTAAATTCAAAAGTATGGCAGAACTCAATAGAAAGAAAACCAGCAGGAAAACTGATGGAGAATTGCCTAAAGTATTTGTGATTTATTTGTGTTATTACCATCATCATTAACCACATTACCTAATTTATACTGTTGGGTGTAGAAGGGTGATATCGTCAGTTAAAGTAAGTGTATATAAGCATTGTACAATTGAAGAGCTACGGAAGTAATACTGAAATCTTGTCTTTCAAGTTGAAGATTTTTATATCACTGTTGATCCAAAAATTAATTCTGTTGTCACAATCACTCAAGCAGAATTGTATATACTAATAAAAGATCCTGCATTGTAACACAGATGCTGGATAAGATATAGGCTATCATTCATTGCTGTAGAATGATCGGGTACAATATTAACTAGCTGATATTCTTTTTGGTTATGTTTTTTTTTGCTGTTCCTAGAGTATGGATTGTTTTCTAAAGATCTTTTTCTAACATGATAGTAAGTAATGTTTGTAATTTGTGTCTTCAAAGCCAATGAAAAGAATTTTGGAGAACAGTTTCTTCATCTGTATCTGGAAGAAGGAAGACCAACAGTTCGATTTGGGTGTGGCAACTCACAAAACATTCTGGCTGTGTCCGTCAATCAATCTGTTAGCAAAGATGTACTCTTATCTATCACAGTAAGGTAAGAACTTGCCATAACATATTTCATAAAGAGATACTCAACACAATTCATCCATTTGTAGTTAAAAGTAGCAACAGATATACATGCAAGAGAAAGTTGCTAAAAAATGTATTGAACATAAAGGTGAAACATGATTCTCAGCGGAGCACAGTAAAGTGTTCTTTTGACACATTTCTTAAACAGCCTTAAAAGTATTTCTTTTTTTCAGAATCAGATGCTGGACAAGCAATAAGACATGAAAGGGTTGTGTGTGTTTAACATTTGATAATGATAATCCTATCCCAAGAGCATCATTGGACATAACACATGATCCATGACTAAATATCTTAAATCCACAGCCAAGCTATTATCTAATGATAACGCTTTCCTCAGGTTACCTTAATGTCAGTAAAAGAGTCATATTTTGGAAAGAAAAAATCTGTATGTGTATGCTGGAAGATTGTTTGACAATTTAGTGTGTTTGGTATCAGCTAAATTGTGGTTCACGCAGATTAATCTACTCCATTGGAAAATGTATGAACCAATCTGAATGTACTGAGATCCAGGCAGTTTTATACGTAAAAATTAGGCCAGTCAGAAAACTAGGGTAATTAATTTAAGCATAATATTAAGGGGCTTAAAATGAATTGCTCATCATATCTGATGAACATTTAGAATAAATCAGATGTTTTTCACCATGTTTCTAGCACCAAATGAACAACAGATTTACTGATTAGGCTAAATCTGAGTAATTCCGTGTTACCACAATGTCATCATAATATAAAGCAGAAGCAGTAAACTGTGTTATAACTAACTTTAATTGCAAATGCAATGCAAGCATAGTGTATAAAAGTGACTAATTCCTACTGGTATATGTGTGGATTTTTAAGAGACATACACAGAATATCAAGAACATTTATAACAATCAAATGATAATGTTAGAATCTGTATTAAGTTCTGTACCCAGTGAACAGATTGACACATCCTTTTCCAGCCATGATAGCTTGTATGTGATAGTAGGGAAAAATGAGAAAATAATGATGTGAATGTCATACTTAAGTCATGTTGGTAACAGTAAAATAATGGGTTGAATAGTTAATACTAAATTACAGTAGAAATCTTTTAGAAGTACTTATCCCATCCACATTAATGTATTAATTGTGATGAATATTACAATAAAAATAAAAGATATTTCAACAGTTCAACCATTGTTTTACTTTATCACATAGTTAATAAAATGGTATGAATAGCGGTTATTTTTCTGGACCTTAACTCTGTTAGGAAGCTGTGCTGTGATAGAAATCATCTACCTTTCTTTCTTTCTTCCTTTCTTTCTTATGATTCAGAGATTCAGACAGGGACATAGTTACAGTTGGGAGAAGTTGCATGATGGAGATTACAAATATCCCACTAAAACCCACAGAACATAGTTTGTTTTTGTTTATTTACTTTTTTAAGTCCTAACATCAGAAGAAAAAAAGTTGTGTATCCAGTGATTTTTAGATTTTCTTCACAATCATAGAAATGTAGTGCTGGAAGAGATCTCAAGATATCATCTAGCCCAACCCCCTGCACAGAAGCAGGACCAAGTATACCTGACTACATCTGACAGAAGTTTGTCTAACCTGTACTTAAAATCTCCAGTGAAAGGGATTCCACAGGTCTCCTTAGAAGCCTATTCCTGTGCTTAACTATTCTTATAGTTAGAATTTTTTTCCTTAATATCTAACTTAAATCTCCTTTTGCTGAATATTAAGCTGTTTATGTCTTGTCCATTACTGGACATGGGGAGCAATTGATCACCATCCTCTTTATAAAAGCCCTTAACATATATGAAGACTGTTATTGGGTGTCCCCTCAGTCTTCTTTTCTCAAGACTAAACATTCCCAATTTTTTAACCTTTCCTCATAGGTTCTGCTTTCTAAACCTTTTATTATTCTTGTTGCTCTGCCCATTGGCTGTTCTGGGCCAATGGGAGCTGCAGGAAGTGGCAGGCTGCAGGGACGTGCTGGCAGCTGTTTCCTGCAACTCCCATAGGCTGGGAACGGCAAACCACAGGCCACTGGGAGCTGCGGGGGGCCATGCCTGCGGATGGTCAACGTCATCAAAATGTCTTGCGGCCTGCAATCAGATTACCCTGGTGGGCGGCATGCAGCCCGCGGGCCGCAGATTGCTCACAACTGATATAAAGGCATCTCTTAAAGCTTAGGTTGGCCTCATACAGTCTGAGAAAATCAGTCCCAATTAGGACATTCTGGGTGGCTGCTTCTGCTACCAGGAGTTCACAGGTAAAATGGAGAGTGCTCAGAGTAATAGTTGTTTGCCATATTCCTATCATCTTCAGATGAGTTTGGTTTGCAACCTGAACCACTCATTGAAAGGCCTCAACGTCCTGTGGTCTCCCTGGGTGGCTCTTTCCCACATTCAAGAGTGTGCAATGGAAACATGTACATGTACCCCAGCATCTACAAGAATTTTATGTGGGTGTCTATTGATCTCAGCCATGATGTAGTATTTTTGACCCAATCTCACAGGCCACTATAATCTCTTGTTTGGGGTTTGCTAGTCTGTAGACAGGCCATTGGCCCCTGCTCTTGATAGTTTCCCTCCCTCTAAGAGCTATCCTGCTCTGGGCATTCCATTGGAAATGTCCTGTGCCACCACATCTCCAATATAGTAGAACTTTCCAGTCCTTCCTATTGGATGGCTGTTGATTGGGGTACAGTTCCTTTCTATGTCCCTGTTTTTCTTTAGGCTTCCTTTCTGCTGTGAGCTTGTTCATATCACTCTGCATTTCTCTCATGCTTTCAATCAGTTTTTGGAGGTCTGAGCTCCATGTCTTTCCTGCAGAAGCACTGACTGCTAGATAAGCCTGCTGCAGTCATGCCCTGGAAGCTGAATTCCCTTCTTCTGCAGCCTCTATGGCTAGTTCTAGTTCTGCAGCAGTCCTGATGACCTCTTCCAGGCCTTCAAGTTTCTTCTTCTGAAGAACTATCCGAATCTCTCTCCCAGCTGCCTGGGTCACAAGTTCATCACTGGTCAGTAAATTCTGCATTCAGTCTGGGAATAACTTGGTGGCCACGTGCTGGAGAATCACTGACAGATTCTGCTTTTTCTTGTCTCCAATTCTCAAAGGCTGCTCATTTCAACTTGGGGTTTGTGGTTCAGTCCAGGGACAATTGTAGGACATCTTTGGCAGAGGCATACTCCTCCTGGGTATCACGTGTCAATCCTTCAAACATCTTCTGGGCTTAGTCTTGGAGCAGCAAGCCAAGAAAATCCAGCTTGGTGGCCTTATCCAGTCATTTATTTGGGCAACTTTTTCAAAATGGTTGATTCAGGTGGCCCAGCCCTGGCCATTCCCAGGATAAGACCCAGGAACGAAGATGCACTGCATCTCACTGCCTGTTCTGCCTTGTCTATTTCTACTCTCAGGGCTCAAAGGTTTACTTTTGTCATCTGGTTGTTCATTTCTGCCCATATAACCCTCTTACCTATGGTGCCCGCCCACTAAATGCTGCCATCCAAATCTGCTAATTTGAATCCCACATCTACCACCAGTGTAATTATTATAGCTGCTTGGTGCTGGAATATCCCAAATCTCTGTGGTAGAAGTTATGTAAGGGGTGTACTGTGACTTGAAGGCAAGTGCTGAAGGTGCTTCAGCTGCGAGGTCCTGTAGGGACCAGCCCTGGTGAGACCCTGTAACCACTCAGACACTTGGCTAAAGTGAAAGAATAATTTACTGGGGCTGGCAAGAAAGGGAAACGTTGCAAACACTCTAGGTCCAGAGGCTTAAATAGTTTTAACTCAAAGTGAAAAAACAGCAGTTCTTATTTGGACCCAGGGGGACAGTTCATTTGAGGATTAGGGCCCTTTAGGCCTGGTGTGGGCGTGCCCTCTCCTGTCCACTCTTCTATTAATGGCAAATAAGAGCTTGTGGTTTCCAGGCCAAGCTTAGTTAGTAGTATGTCTCATTGGGGCCCCTCTGCATTGGGTCCCTGCCCAGTCTCTGCTGCTTTCCCTCAAGTTCTGCACAGACCTGAATGTGGGTGCAGTGTCTGACCCCGTTCCACACATGTTTCCCTGCTTCTGCTGCAGGCTGTTCTGAACACAGTTTCCTGGGGGGTCATCCCTCCATCTGGCTTCCTTGCTGCTCCTGGCTTACCATGCTGCAACCGCTTTCCCAAGTGCCAGGTCACTTCCTGGATCAGGGTCTTTCCCTGGCAGGAAGTTTCTGCCCTCTCCCCCACTTGGCCAGGAGATGTACCCATGTGACATCAGAGGGCCATAAAGCAGTGGGAGACGGGTTGATGGGAGGGATTCCTTGCTTAGCAGATTCATCATGTAGCACAGCCTCTCCATGCTCCCTGTCATAACATTTAACTTGTCCCAAAGACATAGGGCCAGATTCTCTGATCCAGGTGAGGTGTATTCAGTATGAATTCCAAACGGGGTGGGTGACTGAAGCTACTTTCTTGTTGTTCTTGTCTTGGAGCCCACTGGCCTCTGGTGTATGTTGCCAGGTGCAGCATGCACTTCATCCTGTGCCAATTCAGATCTAACTAAAGCTGCTCTAATTGATGGCCAGCTGATCACAGTCCCAAGTGGGTATTCCAGCAGACCTGGATCAACAGGCCATATGGATGCCCCAGCCACTTCCTTTTCTTTTTTAATCTGATCTCACTGTGCTGCATAAGTGAGTGTGCAACACTAGCAGAAGTTACTAGTTTTCATAAAAGACCTGTTTCCATTTTATCGTATTTGTCTGTGTTTTAATTCTCTTCCTCATCCTAAAGTTGCAGGAGCCCAGCCAAAGGGCAAATCCTGCTCTGAGCAGGCACTTCTTGCATCCTTAGCTATTGGAACTTAATTGCCAGAGCATGGTCTTCCCTTCTGGTAGCAGTTGCACTATGAAGCTATTCTTTGGTGCTCCTCTTAACAGAAGGACACTGTGCCTCTACCTGCTGATATCTAGCACGTGCTGCTGACTGCAGCCTGTCACCCAGTCACCCAGGTA